CCGCTGTGAATCACACTGTGGGTGATCAGCGCCTGTGCAGAGCCTCTTTGGAATATTCTAGAGCTTCTGTGGTAGCAAAAAATATATTAGAATAGACCCCTTCCCCTTAGTATAAGTACCTTGGTGCCAGGACTCTCCCTTCAGTTTCTTTCAACCGCCGCCTTGAAGAGCCTTGTGCTTCTATCTTCTGTGAGTCTGAAAGTGAAACAATTTCTTTTTACTGCTAAATTAAAACATTTTTCTCTATTTCTCTTTATTATTAATCAGAGATACATATTATGAACTCTTTTTAGTTTTTTCCTACCGTGCCTCAGCCCCTGGCAGTCGCACACCTCACTCTCCTTTTTTCTTTTTCTTTTCTTTTTTTATTGTTCATGGCCCCTTTGGGCCCGTTCAAGACTGTGTGATTTGCAATAATGAGATCCTGCTGTCAGATGGTCACGCGAAGTGCCCTTTTTGTCTAGGCGAGGCGCATCAAACCCTCATTGCAACAAAATTTTAATGAGGAGTTCTGTGTTCTCACCTATCTTGACTGAAATTCCATCTCTGGGAACAGTCCTTGCAACTGGCAAAACCTGTGGCTCAACCTCCATGTAAAACCACCTCACAGGCTAAAGCCATGGAAAAAGCCATTGCAGAATGCTTGAAACATTGTTCCTCCACTACTCCATCTCACTCCGATGCACCTTCCACTTCATCGAAAACTTCTAAGACGCATACATCCAAACAGTTGACATTGAAAACCTTGACATCAAAGCCTTCTGAAAAGCGAAAGCCTCCTCCCGATCTGGTTCCGGGCCCCCCACAACCAAAGCGATCTAAACAAACCAAATCAAAAACCCCGACAGTTCCTCCACAACAGGTCTCTGAACCTGATGATTTAATTTCTGTTGGTTTGCCATCTTATGATGAAGGAATTCCATCTCATCAACCGGTTTCTCAGTCACTGACATGGGACGAGCGAGTGGACCATTTTATTTCCTCGCCTAATAGTCCCAAACATTCTATCTCTCCTCCTAACCCATCCACTGATGCCTCCCCAGAGAGAGGAACCTGAGCCTCAGCCGGGCACAGTGCCCTATTCTGTACCATCGAGCTAGCCTCCATGGCCACCTCCATGGCTATTAGGCACATCCAGTATATGAGGCAATTCCACAAGCGCGTGTCGACCAATCCTGCACCCAGCACGCTCATTGGGTAGACATTTGCCCCGATCAGTGCTTCTCTAACCTGCCAGTTGCAGATGCTTGACCGGCTCTTCCTCCGGTCCGATATTAGCACCACGCCAAAAAGCTCCATCTTGACAACCTTCTGTGTCGAAGAGGCCTTATCACTGATGCATACAGCCATCATATAACTGCAACCACCTGCAAAAATCAGGGCAGTCGAGAAACATGCTTCCACCTGCAAAGCGTTCGTAGCCCCGGTGACCACATATTTTCTGGCTCGAAATGATGGAGACCACTCTTCTTGCTTGGCATCCCCACTCTTCTTGCTTGGCATCCCCAGGCTTGATTTATTCTACAGACCTACCCATGCATCCATTGAATTGGCTTCAGCTGCCTTTTCAACACCAGAGACACTTGTTCCGATATCGACAACTCTCGATATCCATCTTAGTCCATGGATGCCCCACTTCAATCTATCTCGGTTGCTAACCCTCAACAGTGCACTGACCTAGACACACAGTCTGTCAATATCGAGACGTAGACTTTGACACTGAGGTTCCAGTTTGTTTACCTCTGTCCATGGATGCACCTTCAACATCAATACCGGTTGACAATTCTCAACATCAACAAATGTCCATGGGCATGCCACCCTCTTCAGTGGCAGACCAACCACTGTCAACATTACTACAACCAACATCCTCTCGACACAAAGGCCGATCAACGTTCTATCGACTCCAGATTCGATCCCGAAATGTCAGAACATGGTTCTCGACTGCAAACTCCATCTGTGCTTCTCACATCACCAGATTCCAACCTCGCAGATGTAGATCCTCCATCCCCACCAGAGGATTTTCAAACTTATTCTCAACTCATGATCTGCATGGCTAAGTCCTTGGATCTTCAAATCCATCACCCCACAACCAAACCAGTGGATCACCTTTATGATCCTGCTTCTAAGGACACAACTACCCCAGTCCATATTTCCATGCTACCATCTCTTCTTAGCACTGCTCAGCGGTCTAGGACTAAACCAGCCTCCTCTTGATAATCTCTACCGGACTTGGAGAGCCTCCCCAGGAGGATAATGTGGTTGAAGGTATCAAAGGCGGCTGAGATATCGAGAAGGACCAGCAGAGACATTTTGCCCCTGTCGGCCTCCCTCAACAGGTCATCAAACAGGGTGACCAATGCTGTTTCCGTGCCATGGTGCAGCCTGAAGCCTGACTGGAATGGATCCAGGGCATTAACTCCCTCCATCACATCACATTGTCACTCCACCATCCCAAACTCTACAAGAAGAGATTAAAAATTTACTCATCAAAGACACAATAGAACCTATCCAACAAATAACAGTTTTTTTTCTCTTGTTATTTCACCTTTCCCAAAAAAGACTGAGGTCTATGACCTATTTTAGACCTCAGAGAACTCAACAAGTATGTCATCACCACTAATATCTGTATGGTAACCCTCGAATCTGTTCTATCTCTTCTCAGAAAAAACAACTGGTTCACAGTCATAGATCTATGAGATGCATACTTCCACATCTCCATCCACCCTTCCCACAGACAATTTCTCTGATTCCAACTCAGACCCCGAGCCTACCAATTTAAAAGACTTCCTTTTGGACTTGCAACAGCTCTAAGAGTCTTCACCAAGTACATTGTCCCAGTGGCTGCCTTTCTCAAACTTCAAAAGATCCTCATCTTCCCATACATAGATGACTGGCTCCTTGTAACTTGTTCCTGCCGCAGATCTCACCGGGACACTCTTTTCACCTTATCCCTTCTTCACGATCTCGGTCTCACAGTCAACATGCAAAAATCCAAAATGAGCCCTATAAGGGTTATTCATTATATTAGGGTTTCCATAGACTCCACCCGAGCTCACACATTCCTCCCTTGCGGCCCTATGCCATGATTATCCTTATATACAATTCTATCCAGATAAAGTAAAGTAATTATCCTTATATACAATTCTATCCAGATGAAGTAAAACTGTTTCTCGATGTCTCCTTCCTTCCTAAAGTGGTGCCTCAGTTTCATCTCTCTCAACCACTAGTCCTCCCAGCCTTCTTTCCATTACCATGAACAACCGATGAACGACCTCTTCATACTTTGGGCATCACGAGGGCCCTCTCCTTTTATTTGTCGCATACAAAACCTTTTCGATGTTCCCCACACCTTTTTGTCAGTCATCAACTTCCTAACAAAGGCCTACAAGTCACTTCTCAGACGATTTCTCACTGGGTTGCCTCTACTATTCGGCTTGCATACCAGCTTGCTCGACAGCCGGTCCCTCAAGCTATTCACCCTCATTCCACAAGGGAATTGGCGACCTCTATAACATTCCTATGTGGTGTGCCTCTCCCCAACATCTGCACCTCGGCTACGTGGGCACAACCATCTACCTTCATCCAGTATTATAGACTGGATGTTTGACAGAAGTCTGATGCGGCATTTGGACGTGCTGTTTTGGCTTCCACCTTGGTGTGACATTCTGACTCCGGGTAAGACAGCTTGCTAGTCACCCACAGTGTGATTCACGAGGCTATGAAGAAGAATGGCAGGTTACTCACCTGTAATTGTAGTTCTTCGAGTGGACCTCTGTGATTCACACATCCCACTCGACCTCCCCTCTGTCATACCTTGCGGTGGTTGACACTACTGAAGGGAGAGTCCTGGTACCAAGGTATTTATACCGAGGGGGAAGGATCTATTCTAATGTGTTTTTTGCTACTGTAGAAGCTCTAGAATATTCTGAAGAGGCTCTGCGCAGGCGCAGATCACCCACAGTGTGAATCACAGAGGTCTACTCTAAGAACTACAATTACAGGTGAGTAACCTGCCGATACCTGAATGGGTTTCTTTAAATGGATTGTTATGCCTTAGCACTTTGAATGTATTTTGGTGTGGTTTATGTAATTTACTATGGTGTTTGACCTTTTTTGATATTTGTATGTTCACTGTTGTTAGCTTTAATGTTGTCTTTTATAGATATTAAATCATTAATGTGACCTGTCTGAGCCTATCAAGTCTTTCAGCCAACCTTTCTCTGGCCGAACCTACTGTAGATATTTCTATAGGTGTGAGTCTCGTAGGTGGAATTCCCAGAATGGCAAATTCTGTGATTTAAAGGAAGGAGGGAGGGAGGGAGAAATGGCACAAGCCTAGAAACTGCAGCATTGGAATGTTAATGTTGTACATCAGAATGTATCTAGAAAGGAGGAGATTTTTTTAAAAGATAAATTTTTCCCCAGTGAATCATTATTTAATTTATCAAAGCAGAAAAACATGTATGCAAATTTTCTCTTATATTTTATATTCTCAGATTGTTCTAGTTTGGTTTTAAAAGCATAGATCAACTACTGTCAAGAATGTAAGAACGCTGGATGCAAATTAGTATAGATAAAAGAGTTCTGCCATGCATAATACGGAAACAGGTGGTTTGGAAGAAAAACGGAATGTTTCTTTTATTCTTGAGCTAAATTTGTTTTACATAATGAATGTAACCAATGAGCAATTCCAAGTCTTTGGAATCCCTCAAAATTTTGTGCAACTGGAAAAGTCAAGTCATGTTCATATGTACTGTTGGTTCAGTGGAGTGCCCTCTGCAATGCAGTTTCAAAAGGTACCCATGTGAAGCAGGTCTCAGCGTTTTATCCTTTGATGGTAACGTAATCGGAACCATTCAAGTCAGGACTGAAACTAATCAGTCTTATTCACCACTGAGGCATCAGTCTATTCAAAAGAGCACGACGTGACTTTGGCCACTCCTGGAGAGACTAGAGATTGAGCTGTGCAGTAAACTGATGTGCTCTGTTGTTGTTTGCAGGACTGTGAACTTTGACATAATAAAGTACTTATATGACTTTTTGTGAAGACTGCATGGACGTTGTGACGGCAGCTGAGCCAGACGTGCTACACTTGTCCGCTTTAGCCATCGAGGAGGAGGAGGAGTCCTTGGGATCTATTGGATTTGTCCAAAAACAGGTGCTGGGTCAGCATGAGATCAGATGAAAACACTCTAGTTGGTCTGGATGGATTTGAGCAGAGTACTCTTTACTTGAGACCCTGGAGTATTTGGAAAGAACGTGTTAATTATAAACAGCAGGGACTGAGCACAATCTGGTCTGCTCTTAATGATGTTATCTTAACACTGAAATTGCCTAAAACCCATTTTACTTAGGACTGCATTTTGTGCTGCATTGAAGTATCCCTTGTGCTTTGAATATGGCAGTAGCCTTGTTGTTTTGCCCAATTCTTCCCCTTTCTCTCCATGGGAGCCTTTTACGTTTGTCTGCCAAAGCAGCTTGGTCCTGAGGCCACCGTTTAAAAGAGATTAGAATAGCAAATGCAATAAACATAAAAACAAACTGGTGGGTGCTGTTCTTTTATTCTTAGATACTATCCATTTGTTGGTAGCCTAACTGCCACAGCTGATTTGTAAATATAGCTGTTAAAAGCTGTTTTTGAAAATGTTTTCACTAACCATTCATATCTTGCAGCTGCTTATCATTATACTTTATGATGAAACAGAGGACAAATAATTTGACTAATCACTTATCTAACCCTCCATCAGCATAAAGTCTTCGAACAATATGAATTCCTACCCTGGAGAGAGAACCTGTGTACTCTGGGCAGCTTACAGTCTTTCCATTTGGTTTTTCTTATATTCTATCTAGATGCATCATGAGAAGTGTGAGACAAAGACACCTCCTTCTGGTCTGGGTGCAGTCCAGTGCAACTGTCCAGTTGTGCAACTAGTTGCGCAAGCACTAGTATGCCTAATGCCATAAGAATGGTGCTAATATTGTGTTGGATTTAGGTCAATACATTTAACATTAGACATGGGCATTGCTTGCCCAAAAGCAATCTTGTTTAATAATAATTGGGGGAATACACGGTTCCCTCTTCCCCAGGGGAAAAAAATAGAAAGAGTGCAAAACTAACACTTTCTTTAGCCTCTTCAGTTCTACATAATTTTCTTTTTTTTTTTTTTTTTTTTTTTTTTTTTTTTTTTTTTTTGGTTATAGTGATTTTGTTAGGTAAAGATAATTTGAAAGCACAATACAAGAATTTTTTTAGAAAGTCCAGAAGTCTTCTTAACTGGTCTTTGATCCTAAGAGGCCTTGTAAAGTTGTTTAGTATTAGACCAAAGTAATACTTAGGATCAGACATTCACATAACATAGCCATAATGTCTGATGCAATGTGCTGAGCAGGCTTCATTTGGTGCTATGCCAGCCTATGAGCCTCTGCGTGGAAGGACTTGGTGGTTACCTTCCAGGTGATGTAAGAAAGCTTTGACTTTTTCTCAGAAGCAGTGCTTTCAGTTTTCTCACAGATGCACTGCAGCCAGATATGGAGTGCCAGAGATCCGGAAAAATGGAAGTGCCAACCAAGGATGCACAGTGTTTACAGGGTGAGGAATGGGATCTGTTTCCATTTTGTTTGAAAAGCCAGTACAAGAATTATTTAGATTTGCAGTGTTGGAGCAAAAATGATTCACCTTCTGAATGCAGTGCAGGTTCTCGGTTCACCAAGACATGGGTGAAAGAGATGACAGATTGACAGACATGGGTGAAAGAGACCAGATTTCTGAACCAAGATGGACTGTGCTCACAACAGTGAAAGAAGAACTAAAGTTGAAGAAAGTTGGTGAATGTAGTTGAGCATTGGGTCATCAACAGGAGATGGTGATTCCTTTGTATTAAGCTTTAGTGACATAGCTTTCTGGAAGACCTGTTCTGCATAATGGTCAAAGATCCTTGGACATCAAAGGAGAATTGCTTTATTGCAGCCGTTCTCAACTTTTTTTGAGGGGGGGACCACAACGATAAACACAATATGAAAGAAACATAAGCTAAATCAGGATTTTATCGGTTGCATAACGAACATTATAAAGTGATGTGCGAAGAGTTATTTCTAGTCTATGTTTCCAGATTCTATCTGTCTGTGGATTTTGGATTTTTTAACAAATCGTCCACAAAGGGTTAAACTGAATGACTACATCTCTACTGACAAGATACTCAGCACTGGCACTCCACAAGGCTGTGTCCTTAGTCCACTACTGTTCTCCATTTATTCATCGGATTGCACCAATAACCATCCCAGTAATAGGATTATCAAATTTGCAGACGATACTACACTAGTAGGACTTATCTCTGGGGATGATGAGTCTGCGTATCGGGACGAGGTATTACAGCTATCCCGCTGGTGCAAAAAAAAAAATCTTTTATTTAACATCCAAAAAACCAAGGAATTCATAGTGGACTATAGGAAAAAAAGAGCAGACATTCAGCCACTGTATATAGATGGAGTTTGTGTGGAACAGGTGGTTGAATGTAAGTTTCTTGGGACTATCATAACAAATGACCTGACTTGGAGTGCAAACACCGCTGCGTTAATCAGGAAGGCACAACAACGGTTGTATTTTCTAAGGATTCTTAGAAAGCAACAATTGACTGAGAGTTTGTTAATCACCTTCTATCGGAGTTCGATTGAGAGCATATTATCCTACTGTCTCTGTGTATGGTTCACGAGCTGCACAGTGGCAGAGAAAAAGGCAATTCAAAGGGTGATTAAGACGGCCCAAAACATCATTGGCTGTTCACTCCCCTCTTTGGAAGAATTGTATAAGAACAGATGTAAGAGGAAGATATCTAACATACTGAAAGACTCCTCTCATCCGGGACATCAGCTCTTTAAATTATTACCATCGAGAAGGAGATTCAGGGTATTGAAAGCAAGGACAAGCAGATTCAAGAACAGTTTTTACCCAAGTGCAGTATTGAGTTTAAATGTGGGGCCATAGGTTTTTGGTGGATTTTAATTGCTGAGAGAAAACGGGGTATCTATATTTGGATGATGAAAGTTGTGTATATTTTAACTTTTTTTTGTAGTGTTGTCCAGTTTTACCTTGGGGAAGAGCACCTCATTTCGTTGCACCCACTTGTGAGCGCAATGACAAATAAATTTCTTATGTCTTATGTCTTATGTCTTATGTTCCCCTTCAAATTTATCAGAGCCCCGCAGGTAGCCATATGGCTCCGATTAAGAATGGTTATTTTATCCTATCTGGAAAATGGGCTGTTTAATTTCAGTGGGAAAACTGTTGACTTCAGGTAGCAAGATTTGATGATGATGACGATGATGATGATGATGATGATGTGTTCTCAAGTCAATTCTGGCTTACAGTGATCCCTTTCAGGGTTTTCTAGGTAGACATTACTCAGAAGTGGTTTACTGTTCCCTTCTAATGAGAGCATCCTGGGACTGTGCAACTTGCCCAGTGGCACACAGGCTGGCTCTACTCACAGGAAGCATTCAGAGAATAGAGAGTACTCGGAAGTAGCTTACCATTCCCTTCTCCTGGGGTGCCCTAGGACTATACAGCTGGCCCAAGACCACATAGGGTTGGCTCTTCCCAGAGGTACAATGGGAATCAAATTCTCAACTTCTGGTCACACAGCCAGATAATGAACTCACTGAGTTATCCAGCCATCTAAAGATTTGATACAGTTCTCCTATTCATCTGCTGGAAGCCTGGCAGCATGCAAGGCAAATGCTAGTACTAACTGAGAATAACGTACCACTGTAATCTTACCTGGTCTCTTCTCATTTTGGAACCTAAGCAAAGTTAGGGATATTTCGTGTTTGGATGGAAAATCACCAGGAATGCCAGGAATCTCCAGGTACAGCTAAGAAAGAATCATGCCTTAAACTCTGGAGAGGTATTTTTGCCAGCCAGAGTTTACAATACTGGGCTAAATGGATCAGAAATTTAGGAAAGAATCCTGCCTTAAACTTTGGAGAGGTATTATTGCCAGCCAGAGTTGACAATACTGGGCTAAATGGATCAAAAATCCCACTGTATAACCCAGTTTCCTGTACTATGGCTGAAATTCTATTGTGTAATTTAATGCCTGTGGAAGGATGATTATGTCATCAATAGGGGGCAATTAAAGAATAAAAAACTTCCTACTTTTATCCTGCTTATCCCATTCCTGTGCAATCTTTCATTGTGTGGGAGCCACATGACATGAGGAGGAAGTCTTTAATTTCCAAAAACAGCTGGCCACTAATGACATTGTCACCAAAGAGAGACTTCTGCTAATTGGAGACTTCCTCCTTCATCTCTCAAAGCTCCACATGATGAGGGAGACTAGATGGAAAAGCCACAGGAGAGAAAGTTTCTAATTACAGAAATCACTCCATGATGTTGATGTAATCACCCTTCTGTAAATGTAATTTACACCAACAGGATTTCAGCCGATGTCACCAGTAAGCCTGAACCCCTACCTTCAACTTCATAATGTAGCAGATGAAAGTCCATAACTAGAAATCATTCCAGCCCAGAGTTCCAGTTCAAATTCTAATCAGGGTAGAATTCCTTTCCCACTCATCCAAGAATTATCATTTTGTAAAACAGCTGAGTTAAAAAGTGCTTCTGCTTAGTAGACGTCTGCTGAAATACCGGATGGAGAAACTGTATCTGTAAGATGACAGAGCTTTTCATGTGAATATAATCTCTGCCAAGTACAAATTTATTTTAGATTTTTGTATGAAAATACAAAAAGTACTATCTAGTCATTAATAATTTTTGTGATATCAAACTGATCTTACCAACCAGCTGCATGCTTCAAACTGCAGAAATGCTAGCTTTAGAGATGCAGAGAGCTATAAATTATTGGATGATGGAGCACTTGCCACACTGCTGAATTTAATTCTCCAACAAAATAATATTCAACACTCTGATGCTCTCCAGTGAGTTGTGATTTTTAGCTATCAGTATTTCATTTCAGTCTTGGATGCATACTAAATTGATGTCATCCTGTATGTTTTTAAACACATGTAAAAGGAATCATTTTGTAACCAAGGACTTGTCCACATAAAAGCAAAAGTAACTGGTTTAGTGCAATTCCTTTCAATTATTTTCCTGATAACCAGATGATGAAAGGCTGTATTAATTGTGATTCATGCCTTTTACTCCTGCCTTCTGTGTGTTTTTAATCTTGCTAGGAGACTAGTATTATTTAGAATTGGGCCATGTTTTGGGGTACAGGTAGTGGTTCCTGTGAAGGGTTCATTTCCCTCTCAGAGGCTCCCATGTTGGAAAGTTTTAATTACCTTTTTAATTGACTTTAAGAAGGCGGAGAGGGGGCATCCAGAGTCAAAGCTACAGAGAGGAAGAAATTTATAAGGATTTCTGTCCTGGGAATTATAGAGCAATAATTTTCAAGGGCCTAGTTTTTACAGTGCAGGAAAGATGCTAAAATCAGTAATCCCAGATTCCTTTTGGAACAAAATTGTACCTACCTATGCTCATTTTCCTCTGAACGTTTGCCTTCCTGGGCAAGCTCTGTCAGGAACCTCGATTCATCAACTGTTACTGACAGAGAAAGTTGGATTACACCTGTTGGTTGTGCGCAGACATCTGACTGTATCTGCTGTGTACATGTACCAAAGGGGAGAGATTTTCATTTGTTTACTTAACTGCATAATCTGGAAATAAAATAATTTGTAATTATTTTTAATGGTGTAGAGCTAAGTTTATTAGACTACGTTGTATCCATAACACAGATTGCTGCAAATGTTAGGCATGCCATGGAATGCAGCCCATTGTAATCTTGAATTTTTAGAGATTTTTAAAAATATCTTTAGACTGTGAAATCTAAGTTGAAACAAGAATACTGAAATGGTAATAGTTATCCAAAACCTAAAATGCAAAAATACATGCAGTTATATTGCTCTCGGGGTGAGAAAGGAAGAGACTGAAATTCGTATCTGCTGTAGAAGAAGCCTCATTATCTTTGAAATCTAGTAGTAAGCTGCAACTGGAATAGGCATATTGAATCAGCAGGGATTTGATGAGTCAGCATTTAAA